AGAAGTCAGAAGAAAGACAGAGTTCCAGGAAGTTTCAACCGGACCCTGCCAGCCGCAGAAATGACCCGTAGCCCGTGAAAGAGGCGGCAGCCTCTCCGGTAGGCCCGCGGAGCCCACGACCGCCGGAGTCCCGCGACGGAGCCGGCCCGGAGCGCCCGGAGCCGATATCGCCCGAGCCCAGGGGTCACACGCGGAGAGCTCTGCGCCGGAGCCGCCGGAGCGCCGGAGCCGCGGGAGCCGCGCCGAGCCGTACCGGCCGGACGCCGCCGAGCCCGCGGAGCCGCCGGAGCCGCCCGAGCGCCCGGAGGCCCGCCGGAGCCCTGCCCGGGCCGCCGGAGCCCGCGGAAGCCCGCGAGCCGGCCCGGACCGCCCGGAGCCGCGGAGCCGACGGAAACCGAATTTGTCATCCGGCCTTCGCATCCAATGAGCGCGGCGGCGGAGTCGATTCGCGATTGAGATGCGTCGCCGCTGACGGACGGATGCTGCGAGAGGGCGCCTGGCGGGGAGACAAACGGAGCCCGCCCGGAGCCCGCCCGGAGCCCGCCCGGAGCCCGCCCGGAGTCCGACCCCGCGAAACGAAGTTGTCATCCCGGCCTTTCGCATCCCAATGAGCGCGGCGGCGGGAGGTCGATTAGCGATTGGAGATGCCGTCGCCGCTGACGGACGGATGCTGCGAGGAGGGCCTGGCGGTAGAGCGTGGGGTCGGGCCCTGGCCCAGTGCCAGCCGCGCTTCTGTACGCGGATGCTCCGCCGCCAACGCACTGGGCCCAAGCAACGCCACCAACGCGCAAACCTTCTTAAAGCAAATATTGCCAACAAGAAAAAAATTAAAAAATGGTATTGTAAAGGAAATAATCTCCACAAAAGTTTTTGTGCAGTTTATTTCATTTACAATACCATGGATTACCACAAGATATCTGCTACCACCAAGGAAATTTTAAAAATGTAACACATAAATAAGGAACCAACAGTCAGTTCGAAACATCGAAGTCGCTAAAGTAAGAGAGTTCTAACCAATTCTACAGTTCAAGAGCCCGTGCCTCTCGTTGACTATGAATTTTTGTGCTTCTCCGTTTGCCTTTCTCATCCCCTAATTTAACTTGCGACTTAAAGCATAACATATATTGCATAAGTGAATAAATTTAACTTCGTAATTCAATGTTTCATATTATCATAAAAAAAGACTTTACAATGAAAATTCAGGAATTAAAATAGTGCCATAGTACTAAATATTTAGACACGAAAATACGTAAAGTTATTGAGCTCAAATTCTAAAATATTATTTCAGTACTAATGATTACCCGTGTATGTTGGTCTCTAGTAGACAAGAAGAAACTTTATGTACCTGATATACCATAACTTTAACAGGCTGACCAATCAATAAATATAAGATCAATGGCAGGCAGGCCAATCATAAAAGAAATTCAAATATCATAGATGAATTAATTCAACCCAGCAGAAAAATTAAGTACACTTCGGGAATGATCAGATAAAGAGAACGCCGGAAGATCGAATGCCAAAAACCCTCTAAAAGTAAAAACAGTCTGGGCAAGCCAAAAATCAGACGGAAGGAAACTCTGTAAGGCAGAACGAGCCAATAGCCTCAAGACGTGCTGTGTTGTTGACGATCATTATCATGACAATGGCTTAAAACCGCAGTTTTAGTCGTAGAGTCTAACGATTAGGGCAACAGCAGATCACGTGAATAGCTAATTGGAGACCCATAATCATTTAATTACATATACTCGGAGTTATAATTCAAGGGGGGGGGGGTTCACACATCAATTCGTAGCTTTAGGCCTGCCGGTCACATACTGCGCAAACACCCCCACACCTTCACCAAATCAACTACGCTGTGCAGTACAGCACTCGTAAATTCTTCGCTTCATAATTATTTTGCTCCCAATCACTTCGTAAATTATTCTGCCACCAAAACCGGCCTAATTTCTCAAAACCGAACCTCTTTGTTTCGGTCCCCTTTGCTTCGTCCAGTTGGCACTGTGTCGTGGCGGTGGCGTTGTGCCACCCGTCGGCCAGCGACCGTGCCGCGATCATATGGTCTGGGCGATCGCCTACCGGCGCCGACGTCACTCGCGCCGCCCTGACCCCGCCCACTCCGCCGCGCGGCGTTTCCTCGAGGACGGGGACGGGTTTCTTGGCCACGGTGCGTGTGGATTGTTCTCGGGAGAGCGTGGGTGGAGGTATTTTTAAGGCTGCGGGGAATCGTAAATATCCCGGCCGTGTCCCGCCCAAGTGCAGGTGAAATTGGGGACTTGGGAAAAATTCCGTGACACAGTCGTTTTCTTACTGCATCAAAACGTGCTCAAATACATAGCAAAGACACAACCCAGGTTAATCTTATTTAACCCAAGTTAATCTTATCTTAATTTTATTGTTTTAAGATAGATATACCTGTACGTATTTGTTTTATTCAAACTAGATGTAAGAGTACCTAGGTTCTTGTCCCGTCGGTGCGCATATTTTCCGTACTGCTAAATTACTGGGATTGAAAAACCAATCACTGCCTGGATGACAACTGTAGAAGCCTGCTGCTCTGATTGGTCGTTTCCGATCAATTTCAGGGGCTGGGGGAGTAATAGTTCCTCAAAAAAATGAACCACGAACCGCGGTCAACCTTCACTCCTTATTTACCCCCTACTCTCAATCTTGCGGCCGGGCGATCGGCTAATATCACATCCTTGTACGTCCCCATATTACTTGCAGTACTAGCATACAGATCATACTATTGCTACAAAACTGAGGCGTCAGACTCAAACCAATGGAGTATTATAACCCGGGAAAATGTAATTCCACGAAGGTAAAACGCCAGTTTCAAACATGACTGTTAGGAAACCAAATTTATTCCCTGTACTTAAAAACGTCTCTTATATTTTCTTCTATAAAAGTGCGCGTGTTTACACAGTCTTATCGGGCCGTTAATTTCCTGAGCAATATA